ATTCTTGTGAACATAAAAGCATAACAAGTTCAACAACTGATGCTGTTGGTTTAAGTGCATGTAAACCATTAGGTAATAATTCTTGTCCATATGAACCAACTAATGTTTTTGTAAGTATATGTGAAAATTCTATAAATATATCACGTAAAAATGGTGCTATATTCGATAATGCTCGTTCTAATTTTTCTGTTATATTCATTGATGATTCATTTGAATTAAAATTTGCTTTTGGATAATCGGGAAGTTTTGATTCAGTTAATTGTTTTTTATTTATTGTTGTTGAATCACTAGTAGGAATACTAGCAATACTTGCTATTAAAAAAATGTTATGGTTACTTCTCTACATCATATATACTGTATTGAGTAGCTGTAGCACTTGTATTATTTATATCGATTGAATTTTTATTAGTCGATTGTAAATTTATTTTATTAACTTCATTATTATCATCAATAACTGTTGACTCATCATTATTCTACTACAAAATACACAATTTTTAAAACTCTCCCCCCCCCAAAAAAAAATTAATTTAATAAAATTCATACTTGATTATTTGTAATCGATGTTGAATCATTTATATTAACTGTATCTACATTTATCTCACTAGTCGAGCCTAATTAAAAAAAAACAAAGTTTCTAATAAAGAAATAACAATCTACTTAGGGCAAACCAAAAGTTCGTAGAACGATTTTAAAGAACCTTGTCGGATAAAGTAACCTATTTAGAAATGAAAAACCAAATATACCAAGTTGTAGAGCCTTTTGAGGCGCGTCGAATGGTATATAATAAATCCTGTTTTCATAAGGTTTTGAAGGAAGTAGAGTCACTTTACTGATAGATGACTACGCACCCACAATCACATCCACCCATACCCACACTGACAAGATGATCGGAGATGCTACATATATGAGGTTGTAGCCCGTCAAAAACTCTGCAAAATCGGATGTGAGAAAAAATATTTTACAAATACTTTCGACTAATCCCAAGGACCACAATATTCAGTAACCTATCATACTTAGGTGAAGGTGTGAGTATGGATGAGTAGTCATCTATCAGTAAATTGACTCTAGTTCCTTCAAAGTCTTATGAAAACAGGATTTATTATATACCATTCGATGCGCCTCAAAAAACTCTACAACATGGTATATTTGGTTTTTCATTTCTAAATAGGTTACCTTATCCGACAAGGTTCTTGAAAACCGCTCTACGAACTTTTGGTTTGCCCTAAGTAATATATTCATACCATGTCGAATACTAGGTGTTGTACTTATAATTGATGATTGTCTAGAAAAATGTGTTTGATTTCTTTTAATTATATCTCGATATCTTGATACCATAAGTACTGATTGTAAAATAAAAAAATTCACAAAAACAACAAGTCAACGTCGAATAACTCGAAAAAATATGACAAATGGAAGTGATCTTATTTCAAAAATTCATGCGATGATGGAAAAACATAAAGAAGTAAGAATTAATATAAGAGGGAGCACTATAAAAACGTTTTTTCCCCCTAATGTTCTTGATACTTTAGTTTTAGCAGTCCCTTCGGAGTCTAGAAAGTTGATAGTCTTGCACTGTTTTATTTATCTTCTAATACAGTTTGAAAACTTGTGTTAGAAGTAGACACTAGCAAATTATATTCTATAGGAAAACTGGTGTGATATACTTGTTTTATAACAGTATATTTGGTCTGTCGGACGAAAAAAAACAAAAACAATTTTTCTTTTTAAAAATATTTCTAGTCATTTTTTGTTGTTCGTTTACGTAATCCAATGTCAAATCCTGCAACATTAACCGATACAGATCCATTAATACAATGTGATTTAATTGAATCTCGTGATGCATTTTTAAATTTTGCTCGTGAAAAACATTGTGAATTTTCTTCATTACGTCGTGCAAAATATTCAACAATGGTTTCATTAATTGAATTACATTCATCAACAGCCGATAAAATATCTTATACATGTAATTCATGTCGACAATTATGGGATATTCGATATCATTGTACAGTATGTGAAGATTATGATTTATGCAGTAAATGTTATATAACAATAAAACATGAACATCGTAAGGAACGTTCAGATGATACAAATGAAATGAAAACAAATTCGGATACAACAATTAATATTCAACAACAAAGACAATTAACAATGCAACGAATGTTAGATGCTATACGTTATGCTATACAATGTCGAAATGCAAATTGTATATTTAAAAATTGTTCATTATGTAAAAGATTATTACAATGTACAAAAAAATGGACAAAAGCATCAAGAAGTCAACGTCAATCATGTAATAAATTTCTTTCACCAATTTGGCTTCATGCTAAAACTTGTACTGATCAAAATTGTTTAGTATGCACAAAAATATTATAAAAAAAAATTTGTTTATTAGATAATTTTCATTGAAAATTATTTTAGTTACATTTTTGTGCAAGTTTTCAACATAAAATTCAACGACAACGTGCAGCGACTATGCAAGCTGATCGAAGACGTATTAAAGCTATGCATCGAGCAAAAATGGGGCCAGGTAATTATGTACCAACAAAAAAAAAGGAATTCATATCCTTAATTAAACTATCTATTATTCTAGGTCCATCACCAATTAATTCACAAAATTCTGAACCAACAACATCTGGACAATATCATCATTCAATGGAATCAGCTTCACCAAGTTCTACGGGCAAAATGATGCCATCAAGTGATAAAGGTAGTAAAGGTGGTAAACCTTCATCTATGAGTGGATTAGTTTGTACTAATTTATCACAACAATTACCAACTCAACAGCAACGACAAAATTCTGTTTACTATAATGGTGGTCATGGTAATCCAACTGGTATTACCAATAATAATAATAATAATAGTGGATATCCAATGATGATGACGACACATCCTCGACAAACACCACAACAATGGATACCATCACAACAACCAATTCGATATGCATCTCAGGGTGTGGGTGTGGGTGGTGTGGGTGTGGGTGATGTGGGGTGTGGGTGGTGTGGGGTGTGGGTGTGGGTGATGTGGGGTGTGGGTGATGTGGAGTGTGTGGGTGTGGGTGTGGGTTGTGGGTGTGGGTTGAATCAAAGAGAAAAATCACACCCCACACCCACACCCTAGAAAAGATCGAAAAGAGATAGTGAAAATAGATGCGTGCCATCGATGAATATCAACAGAACGACAGAGAAGAAAGATGTATGATTGTTATATGGTACTGTTCACAATGACGCTATGATAATAACAACACCAAAACAAAAGAGAAAACATTCTCATGACCTGATTGAGAGAGATATATTTAAAAATAGTAAAACTACCGAGATATTTTTGTTAAATGTCTATTTCCTATTCTGGGATCCATTTGGACCCCGCTTGGGCATCCGCGGGTTAAAAATCATTTCATAAAAAGACCTCATAATTAGATGTTTTCATTTGTCATTGAGATTAATTTCTATTCTAATAGAAAAGAATTTCAATGCAGAGAATTTATTCAAATTCAAAATTTGTTTATCAATGTTTCTTGATAAGTTTTGTGAACTAATAGGAAAAAAAAGAAGAGATATCAGATAAAATATGGAAAAATACTTTTTTTCAATGTTCTACATTGTTTATTAAATGAATTTAAAGATCATTTGCTACTCTCTCTCTCTAAAATTTTAATATTCAGAAGATTTCACAATTTCTAGTTAACATCTACCGATAAAAGTATTAATCGAGAATATTGCTATTTGACAAAAGAAAATTCGAACTATGCTATTACCACTACTTATTGACTATTTCTATATTTTTGAATAGGATTTAATTTAATTATGTGATTAGGTTCAATCGTTCTCTAAACACTCTATCATGGTAGAATATTTTTTCCAGTGCAGCAACCTGAATAAGCATCTTTGTTTCGAGCAGAAAAGTAAAATATAAAGTAACAATTAAAAAGAAAAAGAAAAAGGGATAGCGACTGGAAGTCAGAGATGTCCATCCCGGCGCTGCCACTGTCGCGCCGCTGCCGCGATGGCGGTGGCGGTGCGGCAGCGGCGCGGTAGTGGCAGATTTTTTAAAAAGTCATCGCGGCAGCGGCGCGGTAGCGGCAGGTTTGTTAAAAAACCATCGCGGCAGCGGCAGGATTTTTTTTGGAGGACATTGAAAAACTGTATGAATTTAATAGAATTTCAGGATTTACAAATGAAACGCTCTGATATTGAATAAATCTAATGGACTAGTACCCATATCTCTGGTCAAATATAGTCACAGCAGTGAAATTAGAAACACTTTTTTGAAAACCGTCGCGGCAGCGGCGCGGTAGCGGGACGTTTATTTTATAATTCATCGCGGTGCGGCAGCGGCGCGGCAACATTTTTTTATAAACCGTCGCGGCGCGGCAGCTTTTTTTTTCTAAGGCCGCGGCGCGGCAGCGGCAGATTTTCAGCCGCGATGGACATCTCTGCTGGAAGTAATTCATTGCAGAAGGGCGTGTGTGGGTTTGGGTGTTGATGAGTATCAGAATCACTCCCATGCGCATACCCAAGCCCATACCGACACCCACACCCCTAATGTAGATAATAGCACCGACCACTTCGAACAAAATAAGTATTTATTTAAATTCAATTGCCTATTGATTTTTATTTTAGATGATGTCAACGTTTTATTTAAAAAATTGAGTATTTATATGATTTAAATTGTCTTTTTTTTATTTAAGACCATTTCAACAACTAGACCAAATAAAGTAAGCATTTATATGATTTAAATTGTTTCTTTTTTATTTTAGATGATATTAATGATTTATCGAAATAAAATGGATATTTGTTTGATTTTAGATATCTATTTATTTTTATTTTAGACAAAATCGATGATTAGATGAAACGAAGTAAAGGTTATTTAATAGAGAATTAAATTTGGCTTTAATTGTTTATTTTGTTCGATGCTTTCAGTGGATTTAAGATAAAAAGGTCTTTAAAGATGAAAGTCATATAAAACTAAAGAGAAGAAAATGTGTTATACACCTTGGTATGCAACTTTGAAAAATCATACACGGATCTTATAACATCGTATAAGATCTAACAGTAAGATCATATAGAATCATACAGTACGATTTTATCAGAAAAGTTGGCTTTGAGATGGGCATAGAGAATCTTACAAGATCATATACTATTTTTATATCATCTTGTGTGAGCATGGAAGATCAGACGTATGTTCTTATATGATCTTGTAAGAATCGTATAAGATCCTATAATAGGATTGTTTCACCTGGCAGTTTCACACTCACATTTCAACAATCAACAATATCGACTTAGAAATGGCAAAATAAAAACGACAGAACGGAGAGCAAAACGTGGAAAAACGCGTTTTACACTTGTTCTTTCGATATATCAACATCAGTGTCCAAACACAACGAGCAAAAAAAAAGAAACTTATTTCAACTGCTCTTTATTATATATCTTATTTCCTCATTCCTCTCGTAGGTTTTATTGCACTTCATTTCTTTTCTTTTCATTGATAGCTATCACCAAGAGTAGTTGTTCTTATCGCATTTATATTGAAAGAATCTTCAATACTTTCATAAATGCCGTTACTAATTTTGTTATCTATTCTCAAATAGAAGGAACAGAATTGTATCAAAGTCGTCATTCTCATAATGCTGATAAGTAATTTATTATCATCTGACTTTCTCAGATATGGTAAATAATATTCCACTGCAAAAAGGAACAAAAAAACAAACATTAGCTTAGTTCTTTCCTAGTAGCGATGTCATATACCTAATGCTGAGTACTGTTATACTTTTGTTCTTATCATGTTTCTGTCATCTAACAATTTTTCATCGAATCAAGGCTCATTTATCACTATATAAGAAAGTAGAAATAAGTCTTATGATAAACAATTGACGTGGAAAAAGATTTGTACGAAGATGCAAAAAATGATCGTCTTGCTAGTGTTATTTTTGACCATCTTTACAACAACAGTCTCAGTTGTTCAAGAAAAGTTGTCGGAGGGTGGCATCTTTCAGGTCGAAGTGCGTACGAGTAATATTGGCCGAATAAAATACGAAGATGGAGAAGTTTTACTGTCTCAAAATCAACAAAAGCTTACTGATATATTTTTTACTCCATTTCCACGTGTTGATCCTGCAAGTACGGAATGCCTAGAAAATGACTTAAGTGGCCAAACAGAACTGCTTCTTTCGGTCGATCTGTACACTCCAGAGTTAATCCGTAATATTCATGCTTATCTTAACAAACATTATTCGAATATTTGCGGCGACGATACTGACGGGAATTTAACAACAAAATGTGATGTTTCTCTGTTACCAATGAATGCTATTCGACTAGTTCAAAAGGGTCTTCGAACGGATTTGTCTCGCTATAAGTACAAAGTTGATGATCAGTGGCATTCGAACACTCTTCTTCTTCAATCTGTTCAGTTTATTATTTACACATTGAACATAAGTGTCTGCCATCAAGCGCGCATAGCAATAATCGATCGCTGTCAAATGTCAAATTTTGAAATTCAATACTCTCTTCATTCAGAAAAGACTGTCGATCGACAAATTGAGATCACTACTGAACATATTACAGGCTCATCGATGTTTAATAGTATTCGTTCTCAACTACCGACAGTCGATATAATAGCATTAACTGGCAACGATTTCAAACAGCTGCTCAGCGAAGTCATTGATAGAGTGACTATGAAAATACGAGTTCAAGAAGGTTTTGATAGTTTTCAAGATTCCGTATCCATTGACAAACTACTAGAAAGACAACTTCAATTCAAACAGGTTAGATATAACATGTTGTTCATTAGAAAGAGAAGAATGAACACTAGCTTATCACAGTAAATCTAGAGCGTGAGTCAACATTTATGAATTCTTATGAACTCAAGATGGATAAATTTGGACTTTCCTCTGCACATACAGTGAAATATCAGTTTCTACTTCAGTCCAACCTGACACAGAACGACTGAAATTAATTTATTGAATCTTTCAATATGAAACTTCCTAGAATAAGATGTACATAAAATTCCTAGGTACACTTGGAAAAAGCAGATGACCAATTGTGGGACTCACTATATTGGACAAAAGAACAAATGCGACCTGATCATCTTGCTAAAGTGCTCAACACAGTTTTGCGTAAGGAATCAAACAACAGTGATCGTTTCGTTTATGACAGTCAAGCAGTTGAAAACTCTCAAAAGCTTGACTTAACTCAACATGATATTGCCCAGTTAGAGAAATTCGATAAGTTGCTGTCTTCCTACTCCAACACTTTCTCCACGTCCAACTCAAAGCACGGTTAGGGTCAAGGTAGTGCTAGTGTCAGTATCGGTCCTATTAGAATCGGTACCGGTGGAGGTGGTAGCCACCAATCACATGACCAGCATTTTGGCAGCAACCAAGGTACAGTAGACACGACTCATCTTAACAAAACGGATCAAACTCACTTAAATATAACTCGAATCGAAGGGAAAAATGATACAAAATATGTGCTCTCACGAATTGATATTGATAAGCATCTTGCTGAACACTTCGATCATATTTATCTAGAAGGTGACCTTGTCCGTCCAAAACCAATCGATGTTCATCTCATTAAGCAGAGCTCATTACGGATCGATACAAAACTACTATCACATATAGCTCTGGTTCGCATGCGATCCAACGTTCATGTCTTACCACTCCGGTGTTCCTTACATAAAAAATATACGAGCATGACGATAAGTCATTCAAGACTTGAAGAAAAAGTTGATCAATTGATGAGAATTGTCAATAAGATTTCCGAGCAAACAGCCAATACCAGCAGCAATATGGAAAAGAGTCTTTCAATTCGCTTCAATGAATTAGACGAAAAATTGACAAGCAATGTTAGTGAGAACACTCGTCAAATGGAAGCTATTGAACGCAATATAAATCGAAAGTATGAGCAAATATCACGTCAATTTGAAGAGATTCAAAAGAGCATGAATCATGAAGCAAAGGACATTTTATATCGATTCGAAGCAATTCATATGAACATAACCCAACAATATGAACAATTTTCGAACAGAATGAAGTGTATAGAAGACAAGTCTTGTAATTTTAAGAATGTAACGGAAGGTATGTAGCTTAAATATAAATTTAAAGTGCAAGCTAAAACTCAAAATTTCAGTGGATCAATGCTTGTTTGCAAGTTTAACTCGAAGATTGTAACATACAAATATCGATTTTAAGAATATCAGTAACAGAGAAAACTTATTAGTATGAACTAGTGTATTCTACAGTTTCATTAAAAAAGATCATATCTTTATATTATATCTGATATATAAAATTGTGTCTAAACACAATAGATACTTATATCTGTTTTGCCACTTTAAAATACAAACCCAAAATTATTTGTTAATTTCGATTTGAAATTTATGTACATGCTACACTCTATTTTTGAAACAATGCTTGTAAAGCATAAGATGAAATTCTGTGTTTTCTATTGTTCAGAAGAAGAGATTAAACCATGTCGAATCATGCATATCAGGTTTTTTTCAAAACTTTTCTCAATATCTTCCGACAAGTATTTACGAAAAGTTAAGGCTTCAATACTACATGATCTCACTTCTTCGGATTTGTACAATTTACAAATAGTGAGTAGTACTAGTGTGTTGTTGAAAATTTAAATTCTACAATTTTACATTACGTAATGTTTTGTTTTGAATAAACTTGATAGTAGATTCTGAGAGAAATCGTCAGAAAAATCTATTATATAATATATAATGTAGTTTCATTTTTTCTTCTACGTGATTATAAGCGCAGGTTTCTATCCTGATCAAATTAAAAAACTATTTCAGCAAGACTTCCGCTTCTTTTATTCTAAAATTGATAATAATTACTTAGTGCAACAATCTTAATCTGTCTAATTCAGTTAGCAAACAGTGGATTTTGCCATTGTTCGTCCTTTCTTGATATTATAAACGAAAAAAAAACATTTTTCTTTGATGTAATAGGTTCACTAGGACTAATTCTCAATATTTCGTGTTTCGTTGTAGTATCGTTAAGAAAACCTATGATTGCTACAAATGCTCAATGGACGCAACATGGTACGACTATTTCTGGAGGTAATGGACAGGGCTGTTTACTCAATCAACTCAATTATCCACAGGGTTTATTTATTGATGCTGAGAGATAACCCTAGGATCTCACAGTTAGCAATTCTAAGCAATTCAAGAAATTCTAAAGACACACACTCAGAGAAGACTAACAATTATAAGGCAACATATAATTATGGAAATTCAAGGAAATTTAGGAAATTCAAGCAAATCAAGCAACTCAGAGGAATTCAAGGAATTCAAAGAATTCAATAGACATCTAAATAGTAAGAGATACAGGGTGCGATACACCACGGAATTATGGAAATTCAAGAAAATTTAGGAAATTCAAGCAAATCAAGTCACCGAGAGGAATTCAAGGAATTCAAAGAATTCAATAGACATATAAATAGTAAGAGATACAGGGTGTGATACACCATGGAATTATGGAAA